ACATTAAATATTAAGAACAGAAAATGGACAAGGCATGGTGGCACATACCTTTAATTGTAGCACTTGGGGCATGGGGACACAGGCAGGCAGACCTCTCTGTGAGTTCAACACCAGCCTGGATGTACATAGTTCCATTCCAGTCAGAGCTACATAATGAGACTATCTCAAGAAGGAAGCAAGGAGAGAGGAAAGAAAAATGGAACATTAAGAGGGCTAAGGGTGTAGTTCAATGGTAGAAAGCTTGCCTGGCATGCACAAAGCCCTAAGTTTTTCTCCCCCCTACCCCCAACCCAGGACCAAAAAGGAAAACAAAAGAAACCAGTAAAAGGACAAACTGCCTACCCCATGTGTATGTCAGTCTATCTCCTCTTGTGTTTCCTATTAGCTTAGGCAAGACCATCTACTGGCACTCATTGGCAGAAAGGTCTAGACCTCTCTGTGACCACAGCTGGGTAAAGCAGGAGAGCCCTGACCACTGGACCATGGCTTGACTCCAACTCTTGTGTCTGGTCAATCAGGGAGTTGGATGGTGTCCTGTTCGTGGTGGCCTCTGAATTCTCAAACTGTACTTACTCCTCTTTCCTCTTCCTCTCTCTGAATAGAAATTGCCCCTACTTTGTCCCCTGTCTTCACTACTAAATAATCCCAGGAACAGGCTTGTGGCCAGTAAATGATTTACTTGACCTTACTGGGAAGACAAGTTTAGTGGATGCCTGAAAAATACAAAAGGTATATATCTAGCCAGGAGTGGTGGCTTATACCTCCAATCTAGCACTTAGGATGCAGAGGCAGGTGGATCTGAGTTCAGTACTAGCCTTGTCTACATATAGAGTTCATACTGAGACCCTATCTCAAAACAAAAAGAGTAGATCAAGTTTCTGTACTCCACATCAGGTTTTCTGAAGAACTGACAGAACTTTTATTTTCCCATTTCCTGGGGCAAGGGATTAAAGGGTCTCTTTCTGTGGGAGCCTCACCTATCTGTAGGTGATCAAGCCCCCCACCTGATTCAGTCTTAATTGTGTTTTGGGAGTTCCCAGCTATCTATGAATCTGCCTCATGGTTGTTGTTGCTGTTCCACACAATAAACCTTTATTCCTTCTGTTCTTCATTTCTTCTTCCTCCTCTCAACTTTGCCCCAAGTTGATAACTACTTGGGTCCCTTTTTCCTTTCTTTTGCCCTGGTTCACAGTGAAAAGGCCGTCTTGTCAGGACCATTAGCTGTGCCACATTCTTTCTCTGTAGATGAGACATGTGTTGCTGCAGGTCTCTTTTCCTAAGGCTGGGTTACTTTTTTGGGGACAGCCTGAGTAGCAGGTGGTTGGTGAGTGGGCAGGTGGCTCTAATCACCTATCTATCATCCATCTATCTATCTATCTATCTAGCTATCTATCTAGCTATCTCTATTTATCTCTTAAGCTATTTCCTGTACAAGATATGCTCACACCCAGAAACCCCACATGTGGTCAACAGACAGCTGGGGTGGAAATGTGAGTCTTGTTTCCACAAAGGCCCCTCCTTAGCTCCCCAATGTCTGCTGTGATGGGGCTTTGGGTGTTTTTTTGTTTGTTTGTTTTTTGAACAGCCATTATGGGCTTTAGGGGTCCCCAACTTACATTGATCCCTGTCCTTCTCTTCATGGGGCTCTTTTGCAAGGACGGAAGGATAGGCTGTCACCTCCTGCAAGAACACCTAGGAGCACCAGGTCTCTTTCTGTGCCCCACCCCCGTTTCAAGCTCATCTACCTCAATAGACTCCAGTCTATTTTCATTCTGAATTCTTCTTTAATTTCTGCATAGAAAGACCTCCCAGAGCAGCCTCTGTACACAGTCGCTTTTTAGCTGTTTTCCCACCTCTGCAGTCCCAGAGGACAGCAGTGGCAGTGCTGCCCTCACCCGTGGGGAGGCAGCATCCTGCCTTTGAGTTTCTTGTAGCTGGTGTAAAATCTAGATCAGATGCTACATGGCAAGAGGAGAAGGCGTCAAAGAATGTAGAGCAAGTGCAGGGGGTAGAGGAGAGGCAGGAAGTAAAATCCTGTCAACAATCTCTGTTGCAGACAAGAAATTCTGTTACCTGTAACAAAGCATGTCTGCCACTCTAAGGTCTCAACCTCCCCCACATACACCTTGGAGTCTGGACAGCAGTACCTGTGTGGGGAAAGATTCATATCAGTTACTCCTGACCATCTGCCCTGATGCCTCACCTCCTGAGTCTTATCTCAGACCTGACTGCTGCAGGTGGTCACCTTTCTAAGGTCTTAGTTTCTTGTTTGTGAAACTTCACAGGCACCTGTTCTTGTCTCACAGATGGCTCAGACCCATAGTCCTATGGAATGAATGCATTGTGCTGTTTCTGTTCCTCAAATGAAGCACACCTAAAGCATAGGTGTGCTTCAGACATCTTGCTCCCTGGGGTCCATGACCTTGATCACACCTTTCCTGAATATACCTGAGTCCTCTAGCCAGAGCTAAGCACAGGACTACGTACCTCACAAAGATGCAGACTCTGGCTAGAACACACAATAGCTCAAAGCTTACAGCCACTTGGCTAAGTAGGTGTCAAGTGGGGCTACCGCAGTCCATTCACAACGGTCACTAGGTGCGTGCAATTCTTTTTTTTTAATTCTTTTCTCATATATTACATCTCAACCATTTTCCCCTCCCTCCTCTCCTCCTATGGTTGTTTGAAAGAAAATGGCCCCCAAAAGGAGTGGCACTTTTAGGAGGTGTTGCCTTGTTGGAGGAAGTATGTCACTGTGGAGGCAGGCTTTGAAGTCTCATGTATGTTTAACCTATGCCCAGTGAGACAGACCAATTCCTGTTGCCTGTGAGTTAAGATGTAAGAACTCTCAGCTCCTTCTCTAGCACCATGTCTGCCTGCATGCTGCCTTGCTTTCTGCCATGACGATAACAGACTGAACTTCTGAACTGTAAGCCAGCCACCTCAATGAAATGTTTTCCTTTATAAGAGTTGCCGTGGTCATGGTGTCCTTTCACAGCAATAGAAACCTAAGATACTTCCCAACCCTTCCCCCTATCTTCCCTGTCCCATGCAGATCCACTCCTTCTCTGTTTCCCTTCAGAAAAGGGCAGCCCTCCTAGGGATATCAACCAAACATGGCATATCAAGTTACAATGAGACTAGACACATTCCCTCATATTAAGGCTGGATGAGGCAATGCAGTAGGAGTCCCAAAAAAGTCAGAGACAGCCCCTGCTTCTACTGTTAGGAGTCCCACACCAAGCTCTACACAACCATAACATATGTAGAGGACCTAGGTCAAAAATCCATAGCTGATAATAGCACCTTGCCCCTAAGATTCCCCCTGTCTCCTTCCTGTCTATCTTCCTAAACCAGTCTTTTCCATAGTTGCTCTGTGATATGATTTAGTAATAATCTATTTTCTGATCACTTGGCCAGTGTCTCCTTTCTCTCATTTTGTTTTTGTTTTTGTTTTGTTTTTGGAGACAGAGCTTCACATAGAGCAATCTGACTTGAAAATCTCTGTAGCTGAGGTTGACCTTGAACTAATCTACCTACCTCTACCTCCCCAAGTACTGGGATGACAGGCCTATGCCCTGCATCCAACAGATGTCTCTTAGCAATACACTACCTCACCTCTATATCATTTCTTTTTATCTTTTAATAAGGTATTTCAAAAAATTTGTCCTTCTGTTTAAGTTGTGCCCGCCCCCTTTTCTTTCTTTCTTTTTTTTTTTTCTTGTTGTTGTTTTGTTTTTTGAGTCAGGGTTTCTTTTTGTAGTCCAGGCTGGCCTTGAACTCACAGAGATCCACCTGCCTCTGCCTCCTGAGTGCTGGGATTAAAGGCGTGGGCCACCACTGCCCGGCCTTCTTTTTAAGGTGTGTATGCTCCATGTGTGCAGGTGCCTGTGGAAGCCAAAAGAAGGCATTGGGCATCCTGGAACTCAAGTTACAGCTGGTTGTGAGCTGCCCAGCATGGGTTCTGAGAACTAAACCCTTGAGTCTCCTGGAGGAGCATCATGTACTTTACAAAGGGGCCATCTCTCTAGTCCCTTTGTTTTTATCTGATTGTTGCTTTCCTGGTCTTCCATCCTTCGGGGAACTTACTTTTACATTCTGACTTCCCTTGTCCCTCCCTCTGTGCAAGTCTGTCTCCATCTGTCTTTATTGGCTTCCTTAATTCTGATACTTTAATTTGAATCTTTGCCTTTACCTTAAATTCTCACTCGTAATTTCCTCAAATGATCTTTGAGAAAGTTTTTTTGTCTTGAGTAGTTAAGGTACCCAGTGTTTTTAGCTTCAGTGAATGTGTTTACTAATTTTAGAAGTTGTGTTGTATTTTTATGCCTGTAACATGTTCTTTACTCAGTATCTTATGTTTTTAATTCTTCCTTTTCTATTTTATGATACATATTTCAGTTACTTTCCTTTTTAATTCTTTTACCTGAATTTTCAGAAATTTAAATGAACCCATGTTAGAGATGCTTTCTCTGCAGTCCTGGGATAAGGCTTTGTCTCCCTGAAGCAGATCTCCATTTGCATTGCATTGGGACCCAACAGTTAATTCCACCTGTAGAATGTTCCCATCCCACCTGAACTCTGACTCTGGAAAAGAATGGCTCATCCAGAGCACCGTCTAAGTGTCAGGCCAAGGCTTTGCTCATGGCCTGTGTTCTGTCAGGAACACCCCTGTTTCCTTCACAAACCTTGCTCAGTCCAGGTCTTGTCTGGACAGGGACAGCCACTTGAGAACACTAAGGACTCAGTGCCCTTGGCAAATACAGACACATAACTCAGGGTGACTAAGTTAAGAAAACCAAAATTGACAGGCTAGAGTGTTTCTCAGCATCACAAAGACTGAGGAGGTTTTAAAAGGAGGTATAAAATGACTGAGGTAGAAATCCTTGTACAGTGTTGTTCTGATTTCAAAGACCAGTACTCATAGATGTAGAAACTAGTGCTCGTCCAGGAAAAGTCTGAGAGTTGGCACTCCTGACCTCATATCCTTTCTCTTCCAGGTGAGCATCTGTCTGGAATGCAATAGCAGCAAACTACGGGGCCTGAAGCGGAAGTGGATCCGATGCTCAGCCCAAGCAACAGTGCTGCACCTGAAGAAATTCATCGCCAAGAAGCTCAATCTCTCCTCCTTCAATGAGGTAGTCATCAGCCAAAGATCTGGGATGGATCCTTCTTTGCCTGTCTTGTTAAAATAACAGCCAAAGACACACACATCCCTCTTTTTTTTTTTTTTTTTTTTTTTTTAAGATTTTGATTTTTTAAGACAGGGTTTCTCTACGTAGCTCTGGTTGTCCTGGATCTCACTCTGTAGACCAGGCTGGCCTCAAACTCACAGAGATCCACCTGGCTCTGCCTCCTGAGTGCTGGGATTAAAGGTGTGCGCCACCACTGCCCAGCAAAGTGAAGCATTCTCATTGCAACTGGCTATCAGCTCATGAGTATCCCAGGTGGATCTCACACTGCTCTCAGAGCCCTGCAATTGCTAATGCTGTGTGAAGTGTGGGGAGCATTGTCATGGACACTGGATAAGGAAGGGGAACAAGCACTAAGGGCAAGTCATAAGAACTTCGTGAAGGCATTCTGCCTTGCTGGGGACTGGAGCTTATATGCAGTTTGTGTATCACAAGGTAAACACCACTTAGTAAAGATGACAGCAGACAGTTGAGCTTTCATGGACCCAAAGGCTGGTCTGTCTACAAGAAACACACATTCCGCCGGGCGGGCGGTGGTGATGCACACCTTTAATCCCAGCACTCGGGAGGCAGAGGCAGGCGGATCTCTGTGAGTTCAAGGCCAGCCTGGGCTACCAAGTGAGTTCCAGGAAAGGTGCAAAGCTACACAAGAAACCCTGTCTCGAAAAACCAAAAAAATAAAATAAAAAAAAGAAACACACATTCCTGTGTGGCCTGTGAGAACAGCCTTTGTCCTCTGCCTAGAGAGATACCAAGACCATCTGGGTCATCGATCACACACTTAAGGAAATACAAATTTAAAAAACAGTGAGACATCACCATGCACCTCCTCAAGTACCCGTGTGCAGATTATATAATGGCAAATGCTATCCAGGTGAGCCTAGAGAAGTGGAGGGCCAGTGCTGGCCAGATACACCTGTAAGCATTAGACTTCAGATGAGGAGACACAGAACCACAACTAGGTGCAATGGGAATAGACTATTATAGGAAGATGGCAGCCAGGTGGCTCCTCACAGACTGAATGAAGTACAGGATATATAACTCATATGCCATAACAGTCTAGTCTCTGGGAATGTGTATGTAAGATGAGACGAGGGAGCCTAAAACTGTTCTCTAAGTAGTAAAGTCTATTAAATAAGTGAGAAAAAGTTCAAGAGCACATTTCCCTCACAGCATTGAGAACAGGATAGCTAGAAGTAAGGGATAATGGGCAGGGCAGCCATGGTGAAAGCATTGTGGTCTGAAACCCATGATGGTGTAGGCTAGCAGGTGGGTGTAAATCAATCCCTGCAGTTGTATGTGAAGAAGGCCCTGTGTGCTCTATGTGGATAAGGTCCTGTATGCTCTGTGTGGACCAGGCCTTGTGCTTTGTATGAAGAGAAATTGTCTTGTGACTTCTTTGGTATACCTTCCCACCTTGCTGTCTGGGTAACCTGGAGTCACTGCTGTAGCTTACTGAACTGTTGATGGTGGCTAGGCCCTTCAGGGGTCAGTGGGTAGACACAGGAATTTATATCTCACTACCACTTAGAGGGAGGACAATGGCTTGAGGTACAATAAGTGGGGATCCAGGGAGGGGTCCACATTTTGATGCCTCCAGAAATTCATTAGAGAAACCCAGAACAGGGGTAGAGACAGGGCAGGCATCATTGATGCTCAGAGCAACTAGGCTGAACCTCTTGGGACCACTGCAACACAGCCATGAAGTACACCACTGTATCTTTGACCCCTGAAGAAGTTTTGGTCTTAATAGAAATGCTCCTTTTCTGTTATACCTCGTGATTGCAGCTGGCCTCTATATTGGAATAAGCAGGCAAGCTATATTCCCACATGACTGGGGAGGGGCTTGTTTCAGAACATATGAGAGTATTGTTCATATTATCATGTTGGCCTCATTCTAAAGATAGGTTGAATATGTACTAATTGAAGCCCCTTCTCCCACCAGCTGGACATTTTATGCAACGAAGAGATCCTGGGCAAGGACCACACTCTCAAGTTCGTGGTTGTTACAAGGTGGAGATTCAAGGTAAGACTGGGTGGGTTTGGTTTTGTTTGGTTTTGTTTTGTTTTGTTTTGTTTTGTTTTGTTTTGTTTTGTTTTGTTTGAGATAGGGCTTCTCTGTGTAGTTTTGGTGCCTGTCTTGGCTCTCACTCTGTAGACCAGGCTGGCCTCAAACTCACAGAGATCCACCTGGCTCTGCCTCCCGGGTGCTGGGATTAAAGGTGTGCACTACCACCGCCTGGCATGAGACTGGGTGGTTCTTTTGAATGCCAGGTTTTAGATAGACTCTTGATCCTTACTTGCTATGCCTGTCTTCTGTTTGCAGACACTGCTGTGAACAGCTGTCTTTGTTGAATCATCCACCCAGCCAGGGTCTTGACTCACCACCCCTCTCAGTCCCTTGAGTCCAGGGGACCAGATGTGGCAGCTGCCACAGTTGGAGCAAACTCAAACTTTGGGTGCCTTTCTGAGTGTGGAACCTGGTGTTGCGGGCCCTGCCCAGGACTGGAGTGCGGCTCTTCCACCTCTAGCCATGTGGCTTCCCAGGAAGAAGGGGGCGGAGACACTGGGCCAGCCAAAGACCCGGATGACCAGTGGTTGATGCTGACCAAGACAAGGGTTGGAGAGTGTAAGAACTGTAGGAGAGAGCGGAGCTAGTTTAGTAGGCAGGAGGAGCAAGTTGAGGTTCTGGCTGCACAGGCTCTGTCGTGAGCCCCAAACGCCCACACAGGTGACCACTGGGCTACCTGAGAACAATGACAGTTACTCCTTGTCCCCAGAACTGGATTCAGTTGTGGCGTTGCTGGTACAGTGTGTGCCTGTGGTGTGAGTGCACAGTCTAGGCCCCTTGTACCTCCCTCAGCCACCTTTGTTTTTGTCTTGCAGAAGGCACCCCTCCTGCTACACTACAGACCCAAGATGGACTTGCTGTAAACCCAGCCAGACTCAGCCCACACCCAACGCTCTACACGGCAAAAATGTGTCGTGGAATGTTGCCTCTGGGTGCCATGTGGACCAGATTTCTGAATAGAGAATATTTATAACTTTTGTATGAGAGAATCCACTCCCAACAAGACACTACCAGCACGCGTTTACAGAGGATGAAAACACTTCGCAGTTCGCTCGTCTCTGCTTCAGGTCTGCAGGCCAGAGAATAAGTGAAATGGTGGCACGTTCCCACACCGCGTCTGACATCAGCGCCTCTGCTTGCTTTCCAGGCCTTGAGAATCTGAGTTCGCTTTGGTTTAATTCGTGGATTAGGTTTCATGATAAGCCTCAAAAATACTTGTACTTTCATTAAGTCCTTCCTAAGTTATTGAAAGTCTTTTCATGGTATATATTTATGTTGCCTTTAGCTTCCTGAAGACTTAAGAGATATATAAAAATTTAATTTAAAGCGTACCCAAAGAGGCTTGCAGTAATACTATTATTTAATTTCCCACCTTCTAGAGTACGGCAGAGGCCCATTCCCAAGTTTAAGTCTTGTGCTGTGCATCCTGGGATGATGGCCTGTGCTGGCTGGGCAAGGCAGGACCCTTCATGACTCCCCAGTGTCATGTGGCTACACTTCCGGCCCCCTCGGCAAGGCAAACGAGGTGATCTGCCCGTGCAGCACTGGCTTCTTGAAAAGTTCTTGAAATAATTTTCCTTGGAAAGGCCATCACTGAAGGTCCTGCCTTTCCCATTTTGTTTTCTTTCTGCTGGCAAGATGTGGTGGTGGCTGTGTGTCGCTATCAGACAGCACAAGCCGTCCCGTGGGGAGACCTTGTACAGACACTTGGGAGGTGGCCTCTAGCCTCCATGTTCCTGGTAGTGGGTATTTCCAGGCTTGCCTTCCTGCTCATGGGGTTAACATGCATTCTTTGGGTCCCTTTTTCATGCAAGGTAACTGAGCAACCTGTTAAGCAGAGGTTGCTTTTTTGGTCACAGACAGGATACTATTTGGTAATCTCCCCTTTCACATGTAATTTTTGTTGTTGTTGTTGGGTTAAAGATTGAGATGCCAGCATGTCCAACTTTATCCCCTAAGGGGTCTGAAGGCAAGACTACAGAGGAGGGTGCTGTCCTGGGGTCCCAGGGACCCCCTCAGTCTGGGTGCCCTCTGACCTCTCCCACTTCCTGCCCTTCCAGGCCCCATGGGAACTGTAGGACCCTATAATCCTAGAAGTACCTCTGCTCTTGGTGGGCAGATGAGGATCTTAGTGTCCCTTAGGCCAGGCTTTCTGAGTCTTCGCCTTAGCAATTGGAATTTTTCCTGAATTTGCTTTGAGAGTTGAGATTGGATTTATCAACACCCACTTTTTCTTCTACTTCCTCTTTCACTTACACAGTGTCAGAAGCAGCGACTAGTGAGACCTAATGTTACTAAGGATAAAACATCCAAATTAACGGAATCTTTAATGTATGCCCTTCTAAAATAAAAGCAAGCTCTTTGTTTGGAATTGATCAAAATTCACCTCTCTATTTAAGCCCAGGACTGTTTGGATCATTCAGTTTCCTGAGTTTGCTATTCATCCAAATCATTTCTAGAGTTACTACACAAGGGTTTATGCGTAAATATTACCTGTCTACCTCAGAACACAAGTGCTGCTGAAGCATTCTGCAAGACCGTGTTCTCACAATGCAGTTACGTTAGAATTTAGGTATTTTCCCATGTGGTGAAATTAAAGAAGAGTTCAACAGTTAGAAGCCTCCAAATTAAAATAAAGTTAATTTACAGTTCAGATCAAACTTAGTATGGCTGTATAATCTCATGATATATATTTGTAACTTTGTAGCCACTTTTAGAATCACTTGACTTTGCTATGGTGCTAAGTTGATAGATCTAAGTATTCAGCGAGGCGGACATGGCAACTGATGTCCTAGCCGGGCGCCACTGCCCCAACAGCTCTGCTTCAGTCACCACGTTAACCTGATAAACCTCAGCAGCAAAAATACCTATTTTTCTAAGATTCCATCACGCGCCTGTCTGCACTGCAGACAGCTTCCCAGTGCCCTTCTGCCCTTTGGTCTGACCTGTAGCCTTACCTCGCTCATAGATGAAGCAGAGTGAGCTTGCGTCAGATGGAAGTTTCCGGGCGCCTTGTTTCACTCCTGCCAAGCTCCATGTGACATCCAAGGCCGAAATTTTATTTTTCCAGCATGAACAGTAGGATCAGCTAGTGATTGGTCCTGTCCAGCTTTCTCAGCAGGCGGAGCTCCTGTGAAGTTGTTTTCATAGCTGCCGATGCTAGAAATCGGGTGCGTCCAACCGGCAGCCCCGGGACCAACCTCCCAGCACGTGGTCTCGCTCAGTACCATTTTCACGAAAATAGAAAACTCAGATAGAATATATAATATTGAATTTAAGACTTGGGGGGTTAAAAAAAGAAAACTTAACTTTATAAAATTATTTATTCTATTTTAAGCCTTCTATCATATTTTCCCATCCAGTTGTTTGGTTTCCGTGGTCCAGCTTTATTTACAGGCATATAAGATAAAATTGTGAGATGTTTTGCAAGCTTCTTTTACTTTTTTGTAGCCTTTGGTTTGTATGTTTTTATAGGGATGAAGAGCATTTTTATGCTTTTGTGCAATAGGTTCCAACATGCATTTATTAGAGTGTTTAAATTGTGATCTAGCATCAATTCTACTAAATTGAAAGGGAATATAGATGGAATTTCAGTATCTGTGCATTCAGCTATTTGGTTTTGCCTTTTTCATGTTATTATTATAAGAATGCTGTTACTGGGAGAGAGAGAGAGAGAGAGAGAGA